AGAAAGTAGACCTAGTCGAGCCCCGACGGTTCGACAAAACATGAGATTGACTTCATTATGACGACCAGACGCCAACTGTTCAGTGATGTCTCATTGATCGCGAGGGTGAAAACTGGCAGCGATCACCGAATGATTCGAGGCACACTGAACCTAAACGTTAAGTTGGAGAGGTCTCGTCTAATGAAGCCATCGCTCCGTCCCCCTCGTACTCTAATCCAAAGTCCCGAAACCTTTCAGCTCGAGTTACAAAACCGTTTTCAGTGCCTAGAAAATTGCAGTGCAGTGGACGATATGAATGACAAGCTCGTGGAAACTGTCCACGCGGTTGGAGCTAAGTTCTGCAAGGCCCGTCGCAGAAGACCACAAAAACTCTCTCGATCACTCTTAATATCGTGGCTGTTAGACGAAAAATGCAAGCTGCAGTCTTCAGCAGATTTTGCAGCATACAGGCAACTGAACAGACAGATCTTCAAATACGTGCAGCAGGACTTACGCAACTTCAGTATAGCTCGTATTGAAGAAGCGATCGAGTGGAACCAAGGTTTTAAAGTCTTGCCAACTGTCGATGCTGAAGACCGAGTGTGGCAGCATCGTTCCCGGGACACCTGAGATTGAGAGGTTCTATGGGTAGCTGTACACATCATCGTCGGAGCCACACGCAAGTGTGAGTAGCGATCCAAGAGCAAGTCTTATCCGATACTATTCCGATGATATCTCGGACGTCAGTCTGAGCGAAATTAGAATGACTCTCCAGCACCTTAAAAACGGCAAGTCCCCGGGCGAGGATGGAATTACAGCGTAGCTTCTGAAAGCGGGTGAAAACCGGTACCTGAAGTACTTCAGAGGCTCTTTAATTCCGTCCTCCATGGTGGCACTACTCCCGAGGCGTGGAGCAGAATTGCGGTGGTCTTGTTCTTCAAGAAAGGTGACACCGCTCTCGAAGAACTACAGACCGATATCCCTTCGGAGCCGTTTTCGAGAGTCATTACGAATCGTCTCGCACGCAGACTCGACGACTTGCAGCCTCCCGAACAAGCCGGTTTCCGAAAAGGATTTAGCACCATAGACCACATACATATCCTTCGGCAAATTGTACAGAAGTCCGAAGAGTACAATTTGCCACTTTGCCTGGCGTATGTGGACTATGAGAAAGCCTTTGATTCCGTCGAAATTTGGGCGGTGCTACAGTCCCTTCAGCGGTGCCAAATTGACTGTCGGTATATCTAAGTGCTGAAGTGTTTGTACAGTAGGGCTACGATGGCTATCCGAGTACAGAACCAGAGTACGAAACCTATCCAACTGCAGAGAGATGTAAGACAGGGTGACGTTATATCCCCGATACTCTTCACCGCTGCATTGGAAGACGTTTTCAAGCTACTGAACTGGAAAGGATACGGTATTAACATCAATGGCGAGTACATCACTTACCTTCGACGTGCCGACGATATAGTCCTTATGGAATGATCGCTGGAGGACCTAAGCACTGCTCAATGACCTCAATAGTGTCTCCCAACGGATGGGTCTTAAGATGAACACGGACAAAACAAAGATCATGTTTAATGTTCATGGCACACCTATGCCGGTAGTTGTTGGGAGCGCTAAGCTCGAAGTTGTCGAGTACATCTTCCATGGGACAATAGTCCGACTAGGTAAGTCCAACTTCGACTGAGCGTTCAATCGACGGCTTCAACTCGGCTGGGCAGCGTTCGGAAAATTACGACACATCTTCTCGTCAGCTATACCTCAAAACCCGAAAACGAGACTATACAACCAGTGCGTGTTGCCAGTGATGACCTATGGAACTGAGACTTGGTCCTTCACTGCTGGTCGTATGAGGACGCTCAAAGTCGCTCGGCGAGCTGTGGAGAGGGCTATACTCGGGGTTTCTCTGCGTGATAAACTTAGAAATGAGGATATCCGCAGTAGAACCGACCCGAAACGATATAGCCCAAAAGATTAATTAGCTGAAGTGGCAATGGGCCGGCTATATAGCTCGAAGAACCGACAACCGTTGGGGAAAAAAGGTTCTCGAGTGGCAGGCTTCTATATCGGTAAGCGAAGTGTAGGGCGACGCCCCACTAGATGGAGTGACGACAAGGTAAGACATGCAGGAAGTCGATGGATGCAGGTTGCACAGGACCGTGCTTTGTGGCATACCTTGTGGGAGGCCTATGTCCAGCAGTGGACTTGTGAAGGGCTGTAATGATGATGATGATGATGGGGCAGTGTAAATCGACGTATCACTGTATAATATATTATCAATACGGTTCTTTATTTAGCTTTTTATAAAAGTTTTACTTCTTCGTACGATTCCGGTCGGTTCTGGTTCTAGTATTAGTTAGTTGTTAAATATTTTTTAATAAACATGCCATCTATCCGCCCATTATTCCTGTGGTTGAACGAGATTCACCTAGCCGAGTATGGATCAACGAAGTAGAGCCATGCTGCAGTTATATATGTATTGTTTGTAGCAGGAATGGGTCGGCTCGAACGGGAAGGACTCTGTTTTCACAGAATACCAATGCTTAAAATAGCAGCTTTAATGCTACTGAGTTTCGTATAGACGCTTTTTAGTGGAAACAGGCATTCCATCTTAGTGCTCAGGAGTGACAACCCATCTGCATTTTGATTCTTGACCGAGGATAGATATAAGTGTTTATGGGCTACAGTCCCCCACTTACCAACAGGTGTATTTTGTGCTCGTTTGTCGCCCTCATTGTATAACAAAATCTCTTAGCATTGGTGCTGTTAAGAACAGATTGAACGAAATAAAATGCATTTCTTTGCCAAAAATAGACGTACACGTGGTTTGTCCGGGTCTAAGCGCTCTCTCTAAATTAAGCCGTACGCGAGCAATCCGGGTTCGACCCCTGACGGCACCAAATAATTTGTAGTAACAGGAGTTAAAATACCGTCATTTTTTCGATTCTTTTTATCAGTGCCTGTAATTTTAAAATACTAGGTATAACAAAGATATTTTTTTATATTTTTCTGTTAACTATTATGACTTGACCTATCACTTGATTTCGGCTTGACGTCGACTTCTGGGACATCCTATATATGCTAATGCTAATATAAGTTTTAAAAAAAATCCGTATAATAAATAATCCAATATTTATTTTAAAAATATATTAGTTTATACAGACTCTTCCAATTGTTTTCCGCCCTCGTAACGTAAGCGCCTTCTTGGCAATCGTGGTGAAGATATGTTGTTATGGCTTGATAGTGCTTCATAAAACCAATAATATTAGTGCTCATAGAAGTAATGCCTAGTCTGTAATTGGCTTACGATATTACAAGAGTCAGTAAGGATTACGCTTCCCGAGAAATGGAAGCGCACTGAGACTAGTACCACTTATTACTACTACTAGTAGCACGTATTAGTGTTTTCTTTACAGTAGTGGAAGTGATGTTGCAAGACATTGAAGCAGTTTTAATACTGAAAATAACTTAGAGTAGCTCAGGTTCAGATATAAAAGTGTAGAAAGCGTATTATTTAGTACGGATTTAGAATTTATTTATTAATCATTATAAAAAACCTTTTATCTCGCGTACTTATAGTTACAGAGCTATTTGACTTATTGTAGTCAACCCGGACTAAAGATGAGGGTTTCAGCTATGAAATATAAACTTAATTCTTAACTTACATTGATAATTGATAGAATCAGGCGTTACTTTGCGGAAATCCATTATAATAGAGAATTTGAGATTCTTTGTAGGCGGTTCGATCTCAAAGTGTCCGGCGATATATGGGTAGTTTGACCTACTTAGGCTCCATATCGGAAAAAATAGCTAATACTCTTAAGAAAAACGGCATTATAAAAATATATTATTATTAACGTGGCATTCAAAACAAACAATTCGCTTAGGAATATTTGTAATAATAAAGATTAGTTAAATATTAGTCAAAAATCGGGTGTTTATAAACTTGTTTGTGACGAATGCCACGCCGTTTACGTGGGTCAGACTGGTCGCAATTTCGGCACGCGCTATAAATAGCATTTGGCCGCGTACAGAAATTGCAATCCTGATAAATCCTATTTTGCTAAACATCTCTTGGACACTGGACACAACCTAACCAGCGACCATTCCTTTGAAGTCTTACATACTTGTAGTAAGGGGCTGCGGCTGTGTGTACTGGAACAGTTGGAGATTTAAAAAAATAATAATGGTAACAATGCACTGCTGAATGAAGAAACAAATGTTTCTCATTCACCTTTGTTAAACATCTTTAAGGCTAATCTTTAATAATAATTGAAAATAAATAATAATAAATAACTATAATAATATCAATATAAAAAACAATAATAATAATCATATTTAAAAAATATTAGTCATAACAATTAGTCGCAGGATTGTTATTCGCGCGGCGCGGTCAGTCGCTACTTTGGTGGGGAGTGGCTGTGTCGGCGTGTATAAATAGCAGCTGCTTCGGCTCGCCGCTCACTTAGCGGTCAGTCGCCGTAGAGTCTATATTACCTAAAGATGCCTCGTGTAGAGGCGAAACACGTGTCGTATTGTCGTCGATGGTGTGTCTTGCCTAGAATATAGTGGTGTTTGAAGTAGTGGTGCCGGGAGTATTGGTGACGGATTTAGTGCATGCAATTGAGGGAGGGCGGGAGGTGCTCTTCAATCTAGGTAAGACACATCATAGTAATTGGTTAGCGGAAGGTTGCAAAGTAATAAATTATTTATCTTAACTTACAATTCTTTGACGAAAGTGTTTATTACTATTTGCTTTAAGAATTTGAGTCTTGACAATTCGGAATCCGAAAACCCATCCGGATTCTATTTCTTCATTTCTGAATTGTATCCATATGAGAATCATAACTGTAACATTTATGTATTAAATATTATAAAAAATGAATCTGCGCACCCTCCCTCTAAAAGTGATAACATCTACTAAACTACAATAGAGGTGCATGCGGTCTACGTAAGAAATTAAGTTAATAGAGAACCGAGAGTGTTTACACATATGAGTCCTTTGATTTCGTTTGCAGAAGCCTGTGGTCCAGACATGGCGAACGGTGAAGGGGGCAGCGGTGAAGTAACTGTGGCGGAAACGCCACCTGCATTGCGCTCATTGCACGGTGAAGTCAGACGACTACAGGCGGCGCTGGATGCGGAGAGGTTCGATCGAAATTACTTGCAGGACGAGCTCACCAGGACCAACTTGAAGCTTGAAAAATTGTGTGAGTTTTACTATCTCAAGATTTATATATATATATATATATATATATATACTACCTTGCTAGGCAGACTTGTTCTGCCTTTTTCGACAACCCTTTGTCATGTCCTATTAAAAAAAAACTTAAATTCGCAAAAAAAATTGTGGCTCACTCATGGGCAAAAAAACTATCCTATCTCTCAAGTTGGACCAAACTGCACACGGTGTGCAAATTTGATTAAAATCGGTTAAGTAGTGTAGGAGTCCATCGCGGACAAACAACGTGACACATAATTTATATATATATATATATATATATATATATATATATATATATATATATATATATATATATATATATATAATGAAATTGTATACTTGGGGAGTGCTTTCAGCCGGGATGGAAGATGTGATTTAGATGTGGATAGGCGTGTCGCTGCCGGAAACAAAGTCAATGGTGCCCTGAATGCATTAGTAAAAAGGCAAGGCGTGGTGAAGAGTGCACGCCTTGCAATACATAACGCAGTGTTGGTACCGACTTTGTTATATGGCAACGAAACCTGGGTATGCCAGAAGAAGCATAAAAGCAAGTTGAATGCAGTGGAGATGCGATCTCTTCGTAAAATGTGTGGCGTTACCATAGCCGACCGAAAGCGAAACGAAGAGATTCGCAATATGGCAGGATTGAAAGATGACCTTATCACAAAAATTGATAGGGGTGTACTCCAATGGTTTGGGCACGTTGAACGAATGAGTGAAGATCGAATGGTGAAGAAAATATATAGAGCGAAAGTAAATATTAAAAGGTGTCTAGGTAGACCGAGACTAACTTTCGAAGACCATGTGAGCAAATTGCTCGAAGAGGGGAGGGTCAAGAGTACTCGGATACCTAGACGTGCATGTATAAAGAAGTTAATGAACCTGAAAGAAGTGAAAGAGGTATGTAAGGATCGTGACACTTGGCGATCTGTTCTCTCTGGCTACCCCGTTAGGGATTGTGCGTGAAGATAAGTAAGTAAGTATATATATATATATATATATATATATATATATATATATATATATATATATATATTTGACTGCCTACATACTTGGTATACTATTAATGTTATATTTATTCCTTCGTTATATAACAATATAAATTTCAAAAGTCAACAAGGTTTTAATTATTCTTTTTTATTTTAGTAAAAGATAAAGAAAAGTATAAACTAGATATTGTCAATCTGAAAGCAAAAATTTCAATGTGCTGTGGTCAAGAGGCAGAGGCGCGACGAGGAGAAACTGAGAGCAGTGAGACAGCAAAGTTCACGAAACAATTAGAGCAGATGGAGCAGCGTATGATTGACTCACAAGAGCAGTTAGAAGAGGCACAGCACGAGAGAGATATGCTTAAAGCAAAGGTGAGTGTTCCACAATATCGTGTTGTAGGTATTTTATTCCCGATTCACAATGCTCTTGCCGGTGCAGGAAAGTGTCGGTGCTTGTCAAAGATAAACATTGCCCCAGAAAAGTCTCAAGTCCGCGTAATCATATTAAACCAAAGTTATTTTTGAAGATTTTCTATCTTGGAGTAAGGATGACAGTAAGTGAATGCTATGACATATAGATCTGCATCATCAAAAACATTTTGATTTTTGATGATCATCAAAAGCATCGTCATCAAAAACATTTTGATTTTTGATGATCATCAAAAGCATCGTCATCAAAAACATTTTGATTTTGGATGATAATGCAGATGCTTTATGGAGCAAGGACTAAGATGGAATACCTTGTGACCGAAAGGGTCGTCTCCCTTTTTGTTGATCCTGCTATTCAGTCATATTATCGTCGATTTCAATTGTAACTTCTGTAAGTTACCGACTGGAAATTGGGATGTGATTCGAACGGCTGCCGTATAGCAGAAGCAAAGCGTTTAGTCGCAACTCTTCGCAGGGCTGCAGTTCGAATCGCGCACTGAGCAAGTGTTTTTAATCATCATCATCATCATGATTTGAGTGTTTTTAATGCCTACCAATAATTGTTCGTAGTCTAGATGTATGTCCATGTGCAATTTATGTATGTAAACCGCCTCTACGATGCAGGAAAACATCCTACTGTAGAAGTAACGTTTTATTTAAAAAAAAAAAAACAGGAAAAGAAAAGTATTTAACTGCAAATGAATGTGAGGCTCATATGCTTTGTTCGAATCGTGGGGTAGGGATAAGCCAATGTTTTTGTAGAGCTAATTTAGTTCATAGTTTGTAGTTCCGATTAACCGGCCTTTATACGACACGTTCTTTCACTCGCGATCGGAGCGTGCGCGATTGAATCTAAGTGTTATAGTATTACCATTATGGATTTATTTTTTATTTATTATTAAATAAAATCAAACAAGATAGCATTCATGAGACTTATATATTGCAAAGAATTCTGTAATAAGACGTTTTCACAACGTTTTTAAGTTTGCTAAGGGCTGGGGAAGAAGTGGTGGCAGGCCTGCTGTACACCTAGTTTAATTTATGCTGGGAACTGAAGCGGGTACCAGAAGACTGGTGCATAGCCGTGATAGTCCCAGTATATAAGGGAAAAGGGTCGCAGGACTGTAAAAACTACCGCGGTATCAGCCTTCTTAGCATTGTGGGAAAACTGCATGCTAAGGTACTAATTGAAAGAGTCATGGAAGAACTTGATGGAACAATTTGGGATATGCAAGCGGGATTTAGAAAGGGAATGGGGTGTACAGATCAAGTTTTTTCCATGCGCATGATCGAGAAAAGTTTTTGGCCAAAAACTAAGAAGTTTTTTGTGCGTTCATGGACTTTCAAAAGGCTTATGACAAAGTGGACAGGGATATGTTATGACAAACACTGAACTCATTTGGATTGAGCGCTGGGTTGATACAGGCATTGAAGTCTCTTTATAGGGACTCCAGTGGTTGTGTTAGGAACAACGGGGTCTACTCGGACTGGTTTGGCATCCATAAAGGTGTCGGACAAGGCTGTGTGACTTCCCCGTGGCTGTTCAACCTATTTATGGACAATTGTTTGGAAAATTTGAAAGTTAAAGAATGCGGGTTAAGAATGGGTGAGGTAACCGTCAAATGCCTTTTGTACGCTGATGATCAAGTTATATTTGCATCGTCGGCGGCCTAGTTGCAAATGATGGTGGAAAAAAAATTAATGAACAGATCGTTAAAAGGAGGTGGAATGAAAAATGAACGCAAGTAAGACGAAAGTTATGGTTTTTGTCAAATGCCTTTTGTAGTGATTCCTGTGCAAATGATGGTGGAAAAAAAATTAATGAACAGATCGTTAAAAGGAGGTGGAATGAAAAATGAACGCAAGTAAGACGAAAGTTATGGTTTTTGAAAGAGAAGAAAGTAAAACGATATTTGAAATAAGAATAGAAGGAGAGTTGATCGAGCAAGTGGATGGGTTTGTATATTTGGGATGCGTATTTAGCAGGGATGGGAGATATAATAATTATATAGAACGACGAGTGAACGCAGGAAATAAAGTGAATGGGGCTTTACACCCTATTGTGGAAAGTCAGAATGTGTCAAAAAAGTCACGTATGGCAATTCACAATGCTGTGTTAATCCCTACTGTAACGTATGGTAGTGAAAGTTGGGTATGGCAGAAGAAGCACGAGAGTAGAATAAATGCACTGGAAATGCGGTCGTTAAGGAGTATGTTAGGCTTGAATCTTAGTGACAGTATGAGAAATTGCGTAATAAGAGAAGAATGTGGTATGAAAGATGATGCTGTGACGAGGAAAGAAAGGAATGCTTCGGTGGCTTGGTCATGTAGAAAGAATGAATGAGGAAAGAGTGACAAAGCAAATTTATGTTGCAGAAGTGAGCGGAAGAGTCGGTAAGGGGCGCCCTAGGCGAAAGTTTGTCGACCAAATGGATGATCTATTGAAAAGGGGCCAAATTAAGAGTACCCTTAACCGAACCCTGAACCGTATATGGATGTGGAAGAGGCGAGAGAGGTGTGTCAGGATCGTGCCAAAGGGAAGTCTGTAGTCTTTGCCTACCCTTCTGGGTGACAGGCGTGAGTGCTTATGTATATGTATGTACGTTATCAGCCAGTGGTCGCAGTAGGTAGAGCTGTTTGGGGTGTATGACCGCAAACATTGATGTTAACATGGATATGCCTCTGAAATTCCGGAATTTTGAAATTGTCGATTGATTTGAGTTAATATGCGTAGGTAGTAGGTGAGCACCCAAACAGTATATACTTACTTATATACACACACAGGGATCCTGGAATGTTGTTAGAGGTAGCTTCGTGAAATATTAAATGCCTTACATACAGAATAAAAAAGGATGTAAAGAGTTTTATAATTTTTTTTTTAATTTAAACAGAGAAGAAACTTTTATTGATCACTTTTTAATTACCTATACATACTATTTTTCTTGTAGTTAATATTTAGAAAATGTTTTCCGTCTTTCTCTAAAAAAGCAATTTATCTCTCTTTTTTTATATGTTTATGCTCCATGTTGCCAACCCGTCATACGCGCTGTTTTCGTCGCTTGTTTTTTGTCTCTTTCTATCTTAAAACGTCCAAAGTATTAGCTATCTCACTTACACAGATACAGGTACAGTACAGCGGGCTTTACTCACTCACTGCTCACTCTCTTGTTTTGGCTTGTAGAGTGCGCACGTGTGACTTATTGTGTTTCTTATTTTATTTGACGTTTGCTTGTTAACTGGTTTCTGGGATCTTACTGACACGAATACTTTGGCTTGGATTTACGGATTTTGATTTGTTTTTTGCGGAATGGATACATTTGAAACTGTTTGTTTGATTTACCTACCACATTTGGATAAGTGTTTTTTATTTTTATAATATCTACTTACTACAAGGGACATTTAGTGAAAAGCCAAAGTAATTGTCCTCTGCTAAATACATATTTTTGCAGGCTTCCGAAGTTCCAAAGGAAGCTTTATAGTTTCGCCATGTCCAAGCCCACAGCCATTTTTTATATACAAAAGTTTAAAGTGGAATTTTTCGTTAGTGACCTGAGTAGCAGGGAACTTGTTTACGTAAATTGTGCTCTCCGGCTACCCTACCTTATAGGTGATCCGACACGCACCTGACCGTTTTTTCTAATACAATCGTGTGTTAAAAGCTGTCTTAATTCAATTAGAATACAAGGTGGACTAAGACCTCCCCCTCGCACACCCCTTCAAGCACCGCGTTTTCCTACAATAACCATTTTCATTGGCTATTGACTGCTCTCACCTAAATATTTTCGGAGACGAGTTTGACAATGTTCTATCTGATTGTCTTGATCGGCTAACAAAATGCATTTGAATTATGTATGTCATACTTACTGTTTAACAATTTTTCGTGAATTTTTCACACCGCTTTTTCGTTATTTCGACTATTTATTGGAAAGATTTCAACTGTTTACTATTATTTTAGGGCGACAAACGGAAATACTTGGCATATCTATGTTATGTCCGCATGTAGAAAGTAACAAAAATACCTCTACCTACTCCTATAAAAACTACTTAAACAATGTTTTTTTAATTCCGAGAATTCCCGGGATTCCGGGAAATATTTTGCATATCGTTATGTCCGCATGTCGCAAGTAGCAAAAACAACTCTATCTACTCCGACCTATTATCACAAAACCATGTGGTGTAAATTATGTTTGAAAAAAAAAAGACAGCTTGCAAAATAATTTATTAAAAGTCTCAAAGGTGATTGCGGAGCGCGGCGGTCGGCGTTCCCGACGTTCCCGACTCGGCCCGATCTTGGCGGCTTAGCAAGTGTCGTTGTGTGCGTGCTGTGGCTCGTGCGTACGAGTCCGTACTGTCACGTGAAAGAAGTATATATGTATAATACAATAGCACTGATTAAGCAGGGTGTACGACGAGTAGATAAGAGCGTTAATGACGGTGTTCACGGAACAATAGACAGAATAGATTAGAGGAAAGGTTGGAAACAATGGAAACGGAAAATGCAGGCTCGCCGGATATCAATTAGATATTAGTTAATTGATCTGCACATCTCCGGAACCGCGGATCCTACGCAGAAAAGACCGATCCGTCGGATCCGTCGACCCACCGGTAGCCGACGAGGGCTAGTTTTTCCAGTTTTGTCACGTGAGCCAGAACTGCTATAAACACACTACTTACAATGAACAAAATTGTACAGAAATTTGTCTATACCATGTGTTAATTTTACACTTGATCAAACGAACTGTGCGTATACTAGATAAAAAATTATCGGTAAAAAAATCGAATTTTTTTTTATGTAAACTTTAAAAAATAAAAGCATTTTAATTTTTTTCTGGTAAAATTCCCATCCTTCGGTTTTAAATTATTTTCTCTTTAAGTAAACGGTGTATTTTTTTTCAAAGTAGTTTTATTTGAAAGTTAGAAAGATTAACTAGCAATAAAAATTT